TAGACGCTTCTCTGCTATTAAGAAAGGGCAAGCCTGTCAAACGTAGCGGTTGCCTAAGATATGTCTCCGCTGTTATTCTGGGAGACATCAAGATCATCGTGATTTCAGCGGACACTTGTGCGGAGGGCGGGAGGTGACCAGTGGCAAAGACATGCATGCTGGGCCACAATAGAGCAGAGCCTAGCCAAGCCTACCAGACCCCAAGCTAATCCCCTAATGGCTGCTATATTTGGATCAGTAGCATCAATGGTTGCATAACAACTCATCCCCCAACAGAAGAGCAAACCACTCAAAAAATTAAAGTCAGCCATAATTCATTTGCCTTTAAACTATATATAATCTGGCAGGCTGAAGCTTTTAATGCACTATGAGGCAGGTGCACGAGGGTCCGATTAAAACACGATTTAAAGTGTTTCCAGCAAAAAACACTTGGAACATGAGACAACGCAGCTCACATGCTCTCTCACAGCTCGTCACTACATATTGCCTCAAAACAAGGTCAGATAGTATCAGCTTGCAGAGAGACTTCCACCACATGAATATTTCAGTAGCAATACAGAGCATGGAGAGGTCCCAGCTCAAGTCTTACAGCATGGTGTAAAAAGTCACCACAGATGCAACGATAACTGGGAAGTCAACCTACTCCTGGAGCTGCTTTTTTCTCAGCCTCGCACAGGAATAAAACTTTCCAAAGAGCGTTAATATTCCCTGACCGATCAGAGTTAAGATTACAGGATGGTTATATTTGTATATTGACTGTCTTTTACCTCTACACCCTCCCCTCTTTGTGTCTACAACCACACAGGCCACGGTTCACCAAATGCTTCCTACCTTCTTCCACTGACTGTGCAGCTTTCTGCTCACAAAAAATGTCAATGACTCACAGCCTCTGTAGCAAATCTCTCTCAGTGGAAGCCGTATGTTCTCACAGCGCACATGTGTCAGCACTGCTGAGATGGCAGGATTACTGGTGATGGACAAGTATGATTAATAAGTCAGGGGAGTAAATTTGGATAGTCTCAGAACCACTGTTTCAGTTGTTTTTCATCGATGGGTGCAGATTACCACTTCAGCGTAACTAAATTAGCAAATTTGGCGACTCACCACTTATATGGGCAGTCTCCTGGTCATATTAAAAAAAAAGGATGCTATCCAGCTATGCATCAATCAGCCGCCATCTCTCATTACTGAAAGTTCTTCTATGCCAAGTGATGGTTTAGTCTCTGCAGCTGCACAAACTGCATGTTCACAAATCTCCTCTCTGTATTTATTTTACTGTTGTCAGACTTCTCAGTTGAACCATAAAGAAAAGCAATACCAAAACTATAAAAAGCTCAATGCCCACTACTCTTGAAAAAAAAAATTTCTGCAGGGTCTTGCGGTTGGAGGCGTAGCTCAATTTATCGATCCCGGCTGCTTCTCTTTGCACGGTTGCACCTTTAGAGCACTCTCAAAAGACGCGAGAAAAGCAGTTTTTGGGACAATCAATCGACACACATTCTCCTCAGCGCACTAAAGACAGCACTGCTCAGGGCTGTTACACAAAGCCATCAAGGGACAGGCGGAGGAGAGTGGCAGTGATTGGGAAAAAGAGAAAGGAAAAAAGGAGGAGAGCGAAAGGGTTATTTGGGCTTTTTTTTTTTTTTGTTGCAAGGGATGAGGGTAGTGGAGCGTACCTGC